GGGGGGGATTTAGCAAAGGGTAGAATGTGTTGTTTTCAAAATAAAAAAAATTCCTTCCTAGAAGCTCAAGGTCATCTTTTGTCTCCCAAACCTTTTAACTGGGTGGGATTCCAGAGTTGGAATCCCCACAGCTATGTGCCAACATGCCTGTTTTATTACATTGGAACTTTAAGCATAGTTTTGCCTTCGACTTTGATTTGATTCTACATGGTATTTGGAATGCTAACGCTAAGTGCTATAGCTATTATTGACATTATTTTACTGGTGAATGAATTACTTTATTTTTTAATTAATTTAATTCTTCTTTAAAGCTTCTTGAATCTGGATGATCACTAGACATCCAGAAATAAGGGAACAAACTCTGAGAACATGACAGGAGTTGGGAGAGATTCTGAAATTTTTTCCTTACCATCTCATATTTGTCCAGATTTTTGCAATCCAGATCTGGTAGCACTAGACTGCCATAGATTGTTTATCTATAATTCATTGAATAAATTACAGCATACTCAGTCAAAACAAGAGAAATCATATTATGACTTGCCATGATGTGCTACTCATTTATAATCCAACCTATAATTTTTAAACAGTATTATTAAGCAGAATTGTATTGAGTAGTGTGAAAATCTAAGCCCTTGTTCTTTTCATGTGTCTGTAATTAGATAGTCAAGTCATTTGGTTGGGAGATGCCCAGAGGTGGTTGAATAATGGGTGCTTCTATAAATATTTTTAAAATAAAATAAAATAATAAAAATAATAAAACATAAAATAAAAATATAATAATAAAATAAAAATAGTAAAATAAAATAAAATAAATTCTCTGAAGCTGTGACCTCCAGGGAAGCTTTCCTTTTTTTTAATATTAGAGGGAGATAGAGATAATGTTGATAAAGGAATACAAGATCTTTTAAAAGACAAAAGAGACTGTAAATGATATTTCAGCCGTGGGAAAGTAGCAAGCATAGAAAGAGACTTTAAATAATCCTGCCATGATTCTGCATTGCATAAGAGAAGATAGAAAGAAATTGTGGCAGGCTTTCAAGATTTTGTTATTATATTCTACAACAATAAAGTGTGTTCTCGTGGAATCGATTTCCTGAGTTTGAGGGGTGACCTCAAAGGAGGGATTCTCAGAAATAGAATTACTTCTGCTAATTCTGAGTAAATTAGAAAAGTACACAGAATTGGCTTAGGAATCAACAATAAAATATACCCAAATGTTTTACAGTCTAATATAAAATCGATATTTGTACTCACCTTCCCTGACCTTGGTACCTCCAAGAACTATGGCTGAAATGCCCACAGATGAAGATAAGACCCAAATGCATATATTAATGATCTTGGCCTTCAAAGGAGTACGAAAGTCCAGAGCCTTCACTGGGTGACACACAGCAATGTAGCGATCTACGCTCATCATGGTCAGGGTGAATATGCTTGTAAACATGTTATAGTAGTCAATTGAAATGACTATTTTACACAGCACATCCCCAAAGGGCCAAGTGTTCATTAAATACTCAGTACTTTGAAAAGGCATAGTTGTGGTGACAAGTGCATCTGCCAGAGCCAAATTAAAAATATAAATGTTTGTTGCAGTCTTCATCTTTGTGTACCTAAAACAAAAGAAGTATTTGTAAATATTTCTCCATAAATCTAATATAGAGACTATTTCAATGCATCACTATTTTGATACACACATACACTCTCCAAACTGCTTACCTCAAGGTAATACTTTTTGTCTATTACTTTGAGGTTCTGATGTGGGAATATTTTGGCAACAATAAAAATGCATGGGGATCTCTGGGAACAAAGCACATGCCTTCATTTATATATTGTTTGCTTTTCCATGTTGTGGTGCAGCTGCTTTTGCACCATGATGATGACATAGAGTCTGTGATGAACCCTAACATATAAAAGTTACTTCCAGACTTAGTCTTATTGGGGGTAGATATAAATCAACACAAATCACTGTTTTGTTGAATACTATAGGATAAGATTTTCTGCTCCATCACATGCTGCTATTACACCAATTTTTAACAAACTATTATTAAAAACATGTGTTTCAAATAAGGAAAATAATTTTTGCTTCCTTTTCTTTGAAAAAAGAAAGGTAAAATATTTTTGTCCTCCAAACAAAGGATGCTGTAATTATATTATTTGAATCTATTTCCTACTTGTTTACATTCCTCTCCCACGCAAAATATCTTGACTGATGTGTGAACTCCATAAAGTTTAAAACATTTGAGAAAAGTAAATTGTAAATAAGACTTTGTACATGAATTTCTGATTTGTTGGATCATAAAGTTTGAGAGAATATTTCTAGAGGGAAAACAAGGCAACAAACCTAGTGGTTACCTAGGGTGACCAGATGACACAATTTCAGCGGGACAGTCACGATTTATAACAATTTTTCCCGCGTCCCTCCGCCTTTTAAAAAAGTCCCAATTTTTTTCTGGCTTCATGTTGAAAGCCCAGTGGATTTGCTTAAGAAATCCTAACCGGGGCAAGACAAAAGACATCCTGTCTAATCCCTCTCTCTCTCTGTCTCAGTACTTTCATTGAAGATATTAAAACGTTAAAGAAACAAAACGGACCTCCCCCCACCACCACGCCGCTTTTTTACCTTATTTTATAAGAAAAAAATGAACTAGTACCATAGAGCTGCAGGAAATGGCTAGAGAGGTCGCCAGTGTTACTTCCTGGATTTTCCGGAGGGGAGGGGCACGGAGGTTGGAGGACTCCAAGATGTGGGAAAGTTTCTTTGAAAAATATTGAGTTTCTGTCTGCTGGTAAGTGTGCTGGGTTTTTTTCTTTTATTTTTTAATGCATTTTAAAATAATGTAGGTTTTTAAAAATGTGCAGCTGCTGTTTTTTTATTCAAAACAATATGTGATGTGCCATGGAAAAATCATTTAAAAAAACCCTGAAAGAACAAAAGGTTTTTTTAGGGTATTTTCCTGATCAAAACTATAATTGTTTCTGCATGACACCCTTAATCACAAATAGCCAACTACACTTCATTCTAAACAGTTTTATTTCCTTTATTGTATGTGATTACTCAAGTCCAAAATCTGAGTTAATTGGATAAACTCAGCTCCACAATTTACTAAATATAGAGTTACAGGAATTTCATGTATAGTATGCTGTCTCTTAGGGTTTATTGAACATAGGAGAATAATATGAGAGGGATCTGATGTAAAATAAGCTCTTTTAATGAATTCAAAATCAACGCAGCAGACAAGACATGGGAGTGAACATAATACACACTTTAACAATTTTTTTTTCTTTTAGCCATCAAATACTGCAGCAAATGTGTCAGTAATAATAGCAAGACAGGCATAGGATTTTCCAGCCAGGTTAATTTTACTTTTTTATGGTTTTGATGTTGTATTTAATTTTATCTGTATTAGTAACTTATGAAGGCTGTGCAACATTTTGAGGTGATATAGAGTATGTAAAGGCATGAATACAGTAGAACCTCTGGTCACAACCATAATTCATTCCATAACATTGGTTGCAAACTGATTTGGTCATGAATCAAACCTAATTTTGGAAATTTGGCGCTTACAAAAAAAATGGTGCAGAAGGGGAAATCAGCAGCGGGGAGAATGTGAATATTTTGGTCAGAAGCGTTCGTGACCAGAGGTTCTACTGTATAACATCTTCACTTAAGACTTAAGATTCACTTAAAATATAACATCTTCACTTAAGATTCACTTAAGAACTGTGGCAAGAAAGGTGGTATAGTGACCAAAGTTACAATGGCATTGAAAAAAGTGACTGATGACCATTTTTCACACTTAGCGACCATTTTTCACACTTAGCGACCGTTGCAGCATTCTCATGGTCACGCGATCAAAATTTTGATGTTTGGCAACAGATTCGTATTTATGATGGTTTCAGTGTCCTGGGGTCATATAATCACCTTTTGACAAAGTCAAATGGGGAAACCAGATTCACTTATGTTACTAACTTATCAGCTGCATTTATTCACTTAAGAACTGTGGCAAGAAAGGTGATATAGTGACCAAAGTTACAATGGCATTGAAAAAAGTGACTGATGACCATTTTTCACACTTAGCGACTATTTTCACACTTAGCGACCGTTGCAGCATCCTCATGGTCACGTGATCAAAATTCGGATGTTTGGCAACAGTTACAATTTATATTTGTAAATTGTAGTTATGTTGAAATAAAAAAAAACATTACAATACTATTTTTGCGTTGTATGAAAATTTTTGTTGCTCCGTATAAAATTTTTAATCAACCCCCCCCCCCCGGTCAAAGGTGTCCCTCTTTACCAATCTGAAAATGGTTAACTCAACCTTCAGTATCAGCAACTGAATATTTTACTCTATGATTTAATTGATGTAATATTCCAATGTTGCATTAACAATTAAGTTTTACTTGCCAAAAACAGAATTGAATTAATGAGTGATTTAATTAGATTATGCAAATTAAGCTACCATAAAACAACAAAATGTATTTGTAGCTAATTAAAATATAATGTTCTTTGTTGAGAACAAGTAAAACATAGGATTTGTTTTCTTTAAAACAAAGCAAAATGCAGTTATCATTATATCGGTGGTGGGTTACGACCATCAGGCCCTGGTATGGTATGGTGCTCCGGAGGGCCCATCCGCAGTGCTCCTTACCAATATTTGAGGGTTTTGAGGCTTCTGTACACGTGCACAGAGTGTATGGTGCCTGCGCGATGCTCCACCGAGAAGCTGGAGCATCGTGGAGGCATCATGGAGTGTCGCAGATGGTAAGTACACATGTTCAAGTGGTGGACGCCAGGCCCCAATGCACAGAACCAGTTGCAACAGGATCCGGAACTCACCACTGCATAATATAATCAATATTTAACTCCATAGGAGTAAGTAATAACAGAGTAAAGCTTCTCATATCTGATTACATTACTTCCATAACATTTAGAAATCCCAAGGCAGTAACTATCCTGGAAATGAGAGTTAGAGAAGAGATCATGGGAGAGTTTTTTCTAATATTTATAATATTCAACCAGTACCTCTTACAATAATGCCTTTGAAATATTGAATAATCCCTATGAAGCACCATGCTATTCCAATCTAATAGTTTTCTTGTTCATAGTATCTGGCTCTTCGTTTTAAAATTATATTTTCATTATATTTTCATGGCATTAGTGAAAAAGACAGAAATAACAGGGTTATATAACTGCTTCAAATGGATGGGTTGGCATACGCAATTGATAATGTATTACAAGAAGCCAAACAGAGCTGTGTGTCTTTATTAAAAAGCCTTCAGATTCTATAACTGAACACGTCCTACTTTTCATATCTACTATAGAAACTTGATTCCATTATACTAAAATTAAAATAGCAATGGATCTGAATTCCATGGTCTTTAGGAAAGATCAAAGAATCCAGGTTACCACCTAATTCTGATTTTGAAGGATTCAAGATATGTCAATATTACATAGAGAATCATGCAGGCCTTGCCACACTTTTCCTAAATCTGGGACAAAACAGATTTCAATGAAAGTTTAATTACTGGCTAACATTAGTTCCTCTGTCTAATTAAAAGTTATTGCATAATTACAGAAGAGCCCTAATTGATTTGGGCTTGTAGATTTCAGAAAAACAAATCTCAAAATTCCATATCTCATTTTCTCAATGATGTTTTAAATGTGCGCTCTCTCTCGCTTTCCAAAAAATAAATTGTTCAGTCATTTTCTATCTTAGATGAGGGGAAAAAGCACAAACATGCAACTATAAATCCAAGATCTAACTCCAAAAAGGATATCTAAATTCAAAAGGGGATTACTCATGTCCAAAGGCACAAAGAAGGCTTGTCACTCCATCACTCCAGGAGACAAATGCCAAACCAGTCTAAGTTCCAAAGGGAAGAGACTAGACACTGAAAGTTGGGGGTCATACTATAAAGAATTAGAATGCTAGGAATGACAGCCAGGGATCAAAGCACAAAAATAACTAAATATAATTAATTGCTGTAGCTTCTCAGGCAGAGTACTTTATCCTTAGCTAAAGTACTTCAGCTGATAAGGATGTATATAGTAGAATGTTATGAATTCTGTTTATGCTGACAACATTACTTAATAAACACTTATACATGCATTCAAGATATGATAAAAAAGTGCCCCTTCTACTTTTAGTGCATTGTCATTTGTATTAAGGCAGTGATAACGAATCTTTTCAGCACTGAATGTCGAAAAGGTCACGTGGAAATGTTGCATGCATGCTCTTCAGGGCCAAGCTCTGGAAAACCAAACTTCTGGGTTATAGCATATATGCATGCCCAATGATCAGCTGGCTGGCATGCATCAGTGGTGGGTTACGAGTTGTACGCCCCAGTACAGGCATACCAGTGCCTGCCAGGAGCACCAAGTACCAGGATCCAGAACCCACCATTGGCATGCATGCACCTGCCAGTTTTCGGCACTGCTGTGTGTGCAAAGGAACCGTGCTCTGGAAAAGCCAAACTTCTGGGTTCTGGCATGCATGCATACCCAACAATCAACTGGCCTGTGTACATGCGCATGTGGGGTTTTGGCACTGCCGTGCATGCGAAGGACAGCTGAGTGTCGCATGCGCATGCATGCCAGAAACCAGAA